TTTTTTTTTGAATTGTTATTTATTGATTTTTTTGTTTAAAACAGTAGTTTTCCCTTTATTTTAGGGTGTAAGGTGTTTTTAAATTTGTTTAAAACTTGCTATAATTGCTATATTATTTAGAGTATTTTCGTTCTACCTTTTTATGTAATTAGTTATTTAATTTTTGAGTAATTTTCCACATGTGGTTTGGTAATACTGTTTATATATGAAAACAATATTTAATGCGAATTCTAGTTGAACAAATGAGTTTAAAATTTTTAGACTCTATGTTCACAACCAGAATTAAAGTATTTTTTTGTGTATTATGCGATTTTTCTAGGTCCATTTTAAAATTTCACCATGTCTTATAAAAATAGTTATATGTTTATTTGCATTATCCTGCTTTCCATTTTTTTCCATACATCATACATCGCATGTATCGAATTATTGCATCAATTTGAATATAAAAAAATCAATCTAAGTACTAAAATATAATAATTTAAAAAACATTACATTGTGAGTCGCGTATATATAGTGAATTAATATCATAACATATGTAATGAGTTAAAAAGAAAAGTAATTAAGGGTAATATTTATCAGGGGTTATTGATTATACGCCTTTAGATCAATTATAAATCATTACATTACCTTTCTTCTCCTGGCAATGACTTCTTTATTAATGCTGTAGTGAATCTTCTGAATGTGGAGTAAGGTGACCAGTGCACATTGAATAATTATAAGACTTTCTTCACTTAAATACACTTATTATCTTTATTATAATTTTTCTTTAACACATGAATTTAATACATTTAACTTTAACATAAATTTATTTTAACACTTACGTATTTTTTTATATCTGATCTGCGTAGTCTTTTACACTCGCTTATGATCATTTACACAAAAAGACGGGAAGAGCACTAAGTCTGAACCGGCGGTTATATCTATAATTGTATCTTATCTAATATTAACGACTTATTCTAATCCTAAACGATTATTAGTTATCCTAGATATTCTAAATTATTTTATTATACTATATTTAATTTTTATTATACATGATTGCTTGGACACACATCATTACACATATTTATGATTGAAAAAAAAAAACAATAATAAATTCAAAAAAATAATAACCAGGTTAACAAAAAATCGAAAATAAACTTAAGTAATAAATAATTCAAGGAATACGGAATTTTAGTAGGTTGATATTTTTAAATATGTATATCTACATAGTGCATACGAATACTGACGAATGTTTTTTTTTTAAAGTAGCTAATATTTCATTATTGAAAATAAATAAATAATTAATTTTAATATTTTCACTTAAATAGTAATATATTGTTTTAATTAAACCAAATCAGTCAAAGCTGTTTAAATAAATTAAAAACAATTCAACAATGAATAATTTATTGGGTTATTAGGAACACAATTTATTTCTACTAAAACGTAATAGTATTTTGGTATGGGCACCTATACATAATATAATCTTGTAAATTAAATCGAATTTTGATCAACATTTTAAGTGGGACTGTATCTTACATTAATTTACACTATTAATAGTATTGCAATATTTTATGTCTGTTGTGACTTACGAATATAGTCTTTCAGTCATGGTTTTTTTGTCTTAGACTAACTTAATATATTTATATAATTATACTCTAAAAATTATTTAATCAATAAGGACATTTTTAAAATATAAATACGATTTGATTCTTGAATAAATTTGATTTTTATGATAAGCTATAATACAATGTTATAAAGAGCTTCGTATTGATGACTATAATAATCATTATTTTTATTATTAATTGTATTGGTTTAAATAAAAATATATACTTGTACGTGCCTGTGAGAAATCGGTTATATTTATTTTAGGGTAATCGATTTTGCACCATTATGCTCAATCACGTCGTACAAAGAAATAACTAAAATACAATGGTAACACCTATTAAATTTAATATTGATGGCCATCGTGTCAGTTCGGTTAGATTCAAATACACTTGAAAAATAAATCGTTATTAATTGTATTTCCCCACTGCCGTTTATTGAAAATTGAATATTTTCATTAATAACTTAGCATACTTTTAATTGATATAATATTCTAAAAAAAAATTATTTTTTAATGATTAACAAAGTGTACTAATTATACATTTACTTATTATAGAATATGTCGAACAATGTAAACTAAGAAATCACAATACATTGCGGAGAAATGGCCTATAGTTCAGTACTGTTCACAACGAATAAATAAGACTTACTCGTCTACTCGCAATATTCATATGCAGTTTTAAAATGATACGTTGATAACATGTGAAGTTTATTATGGATATAGGTGTAGGATAAAGCACATCGCCCATCCGTCGTAATAAAATATTGTGCAAATACCTGAGACATGCAATTGCAGGGCGACTGACCTATGCATTAGTAAAACCAGATGATACTACCTATAGGTAACGTATACGTTGTAACAGGAAATGTATTCACACACAAACCAATGGCTCGCCATAGTAATAATACTAATAATTGCTTCCTTTAGTGATAAATATTATATTTTCATCGTTATTATTTTGATTTATCATGTTTACTGTAGGTAATGAAATTTTAAACACAGGGTTATGTGAGTACTGTCTATATGTTAGTTACATATTACTTCAATTTAAATTCTTTTATTTTTTTTTCTCTATATTGATGTTATAATACTATGTAATAGGATGTAGAAAAAATATGATCTAAAAAAAAGATTATGATTTTTAAGAATAAAATTACCTACTATATTATGCTAAATTACATATAAGTATACATACAACATTTGCACAGATAATGTCGCTTGTGTGTTGAAAACAATATTTGGCACTCATCCAATATGCTATCTACTGTAAATATTTTATCTACCCTAATTTTATGATACCTAGTTTAGTATGATATCTACCGTTTGTCCGTCTGCTGTATATTATATTATACACTTATTACCTATATACTTTATCATTTTGCAATTAAGATTAAGCTTTTATCGAAACCTCAAATTATATTATAGGTATTTATACCTTAGTAGGTTAGGTAGGTTATTAGGTATATCTTTATATTATTCCTGTTTAGTGTGTGTTTGTGAGTCGTGTCGATTATATGTGGTTTTACTGTGAATTATTTATTAATTATTATGAGTTTGTCAACTATGAGTTATTTATATCGACGCATAATTCAAAATTAAGAGATGTGTGAACATATTTAAAACATACGCAGTTTATTACTAATCGACCAAACATGTATACAAATTAAAAACCAAACAATTTGTGGTAATGAGTCAAAAAAAGTTCTGAAAAATAGTCGAAAACGTGATTTGGAAGGTAATATTTTGAAAACAATTTATAATCGATGTACAAAAAAAGGATATCAAACATTTTACTCCATACACAAAAACAATAACTTTTTTATGTATATTGTATATGGATAAAAATAGGAAGTGTAACAGTGGTTTAAATTTGTGCGATATCGTAGAACTTTTTTGGTATTGGGTATTTCAAATAAAGGCAACACAGGCCGAGGTGTTTACGAAAAGATCAAAATCAACTATAGTCGACTGGTTTAATTTATATCGAGATATAGCAGTAGCTAAATTTCAAAACCGTAAGGAAATGTGAGGTCCTGGTCTAGTTGTGCAAATAGATGAATCCTTGTTCTAAGGTTAAAGAAAATATAATCGTGGAAGATTACATCTCGGAGATCGCAAATCTGAAGAAGTCTGATGAAAATGAAGAGAGTTCAGATGAAGACAAAGTAATAAATAATCAAAATTACGGACAACGAATTCAAGGGTCCAAGGGCCATGGATTTTTGGTTTGTATTGTAAGCATGATGGCATTTTCAGAGAAACATTTTTTTAAAGTTGAAAAGCGTTATCGAAATACCTTACTACCAATTATAATAATTATATAAAAAGGTATTAGATACAGTAATTTAATGATTAACATTAAGTCCCCGTATAGATACCTTTTTTTTTTATTTTAATAGAACCACAGACAAGCTCAATGGTATAAAATATAACCTGTATGATTATGAATATAAATACATAAGATATCGATTATTTTATAACAAATTCACACACCAAAAAACCTGATGGTATTTCCTGACACAGAAAAATATAGGCAGATTTTTTGTAATAAAAAAATATATAATTTTAATACAATTATAATTTAATTTATAACTAGAATTTTTTTGTCTAGGATTTTTTTTTTTATGATTCTAGAATATTCTACTTTCAGTATTTGGTCGATACTTCGATATCTAAAATAATATGTTATAAAGACGTTGACTTTGTTAAAGTTGTTATAAAATAAATAAACAATATGGTGATTATAAAATAATGTATTATATACCTAATTTAATAAGATTTAGAAGTTATAACGCGTCCTATTTGCAATAGCTGATTGTATACTCTGGGTGCCGTGTTGGATATATTTGATAAGTAGACTCGTGATCTGAGTATTTTGAAACAAAATTAGCGGTCGAATTCAGGTGTTTATATATATATTATTTTTAATACCGACTGTTTGTCGCTGTGAACGTATCACGAATGGATTTAGTCGGATATAGTGAGATTTCAATTGATACTCGTTTTGTTATTGCTATCTGTCTTATCGAAATAATAATAATAATAAAAAAAAACTATTTCCCTCAATACCAAGGTTTATACGAAGATTTATTGTTTAAAAGTGTCGGCGGGATAGCGGTATTCTACCTCACCAATTAAAATATCTGTAAATCTTTGCGAAAACTTTGTATAGTACCTATGTATGTATTATATATAAATAATTCAAGTTTACTGTTCGGAATTGACAACGATTTCTAATTTATACAACACAGGACCCACAAAAAATAGTATAGGTAAATGTATTGTGTATGTTTATAAATGTATTGTTCAAAATTAATTAATATTTTTATGTACTCAAGTAGATCTGCAGAGTATTCAACATGATATTATAGACTTTACTTACTTCACGAATGTAACACTTGCTTTCCGAGCATTACCCTGGGATGCTTTACGTTTTGCTGTTAAGTTGTAGTACATATGCACAGTTCACACAATATATTTTCGTTAAATAATTGGATCAAATATCAAAAGAAAAAACTTGTTCAGATAAGCATCTATTATGTTTTCAAACTTAAACCATTTAATATACCAGGGTTGGCCAAACTGCAGCTCCCGTCATAGACTCATATGGCTCGCATATTATTGTAAGATACAAACATTTTTATAAAAAAAATTATTTTCAATATGAATTTATGTATTTGAAGAAGTATAATATTTTATTGAATTCCAATTTATAGAAGAAATTTGAAAAAAAAATAGTGTTTTTGATATAATATTTAAATTTGTATTTATTTTTATTTTTAATTATTAATTAATATCATATATTGTTTCTCATTTTTTACATTTTATTACAATTGATATATAATTATCTTCTTTACGATAATCATATTCATACATTAATATGAATTTTTTTTTCATTTTGGCTCTTCCATATTTATTAATATATTGGGCGGCTCGCATGTTACTTCTTGCTAGCCATCCTTGATATATATATATTTATACCATCTGATTCTACATAGCGTTGCCACTGGCAAATTAAATGCCTGTGGAATTACTCCTTCTTTAACTCTGTTAAATGTTAACTACGCAGTTTTTGGATTTTTTTGATCAAATTTAAAATATAGATCAAAAATTGTTTCAAATCATAACACGTATTTTATTTTCTGTAACCAATGGAAACAATAACGTATAATAATAAATGATCATTTTTCGTGAGTCAACTATTACTCGACATTTATATGCTGAAAAGTAAAAAGTAGCTTTTGACACTACGAATCTACTGACTAAAACTTTATAAAAGTCGGTTGAGAATTGTGGAAAGGCGTATGGGTCATTCGTTTTAGGCCTTGATTTTATATAGAAAATATATCAATTATTATTGATTTACACGGCGTTTCCCATGGCAAATTAAATAACGCCGGTGGATCTTGTCTTAAACTCTGTTAAATATAAAATACACATATTTTTATATAGTCATTTAGATGGTTTTGATTAAAATACAGTCTAAAATTATATAAATTTATAATAATAATTTTATTTTGTGTAACCAATAACAACCCTATAGAAACAAAAAAAATAATTGTTTTTCGTGAGTCAATAATAAATTAAATTATGAAATCGACATAGATACGTGGGAGAAATTTCGAAATTATGTGATATTACGTCAATATTCTATAAATGTTTTAATTTTTAATAGTTATTCATACATATTGTAGAAACATAAACTATTTAAAAACAGTTAAATTATTAAAAAAAAAATCATAATAATTTATCAAATTTTCGTATTATTAGCACTATATTATGTATACAGTTGTAAATTTTTTTTTTTACTAGAACATCTGCTTCTAATTATAATTTGTATTAATGGTTACAAAATTAATATTTTATTCATTATATAATAATAAAGAAATAATTTATTATTTTGAATTGTAATTATTAGCCTTAATAGTATAATTAATAGTAAAACAATGTTGACATAGATATAATGGTAGTCTATTGATAAAACTGAAAATTATCAAAGATATTTATCGTTTTTTGATAGTTATTACATAATATATTAAACTTAATTTTACTATTATAATTCATCGTAATTAAAAATTAACAGCCGTTTAACATATTAACATTGAACAGTAAAAAGTACAGAAATATATTATCAATTTGACAATAACTACATTGACATTTTATTATTTTTATTAAGAATCGCCAATATTTTGTATTTCAAAATATTATCTTTACAGGATCAAAATGGATATTCTGGGTGATCAGCAATACTAAAGAAAAAAAAATTAAATATTTTAAACATTCAGTAAAAATTGTATCTTATATTTATAAATTAATGATAATAATATCAATTGATAAATATGAGTCGTTAGGTAAAAACTGGAGACTGGAAAATCTATTTTGTTAGTTTCACCGTCTCATAGAATAAAAAATAAGTTTCATTTTTTATTTAGGTTCTTTAGAATACAAATTATGATTCTGCCATTCTGGTATATATCGGTACTAACGACTACCAACTTAAGTTATATACGACTTAGAAAAAAAATACACGCACTTGTATTTAAAACTTATATAAATACAGTTGTATGTATATTTATGAGATTAAAACTTAATTTATATAATAACTATAATAATAGTGTAATCTATAGTTATATATATATTGCTCTATTTAGGTATTAAAATATGCATATTAGCATATAGTAACTAAGAGTTTCCAAACTTATTGAACACCTGGTATAATATATAACATATATTGACATTTTAAATACTGAACGTTTATATTATATAAATCAAACGATCAACCCACTAAGTATCAACTAGTAAAGAATTTATTTAAGCCAAGATAAATATGCTCTATAAGAATTGAACAATTTCTTTCTAAAAATATCGGTTTGTATTTCGATTTCTATTCTTATAATTGAATTTGGGTTTGAGTAAGTGTTCGGTTTTAATTATAATAATATTTTTTTAAATCTTTTTTTTGTTTCAGTTTCTGGTTTATTATATGAATTTGACGCTTATAAAAATGTGATGACACACATTTAAAAATCTAAAATATGTTCATTTAATCTAATAAAAGATGTGTTCCGTCCGTTTAGAATTGATCTAACTTAACACATTAAAATTTAATTTAAGTTGAATTAACACAACAAAAAAATATGACTTACTTTTTAATCATCGTAATTCGTACGATACGTCCTCCTTCTCCATTGTCCTGACTGCGTAGAGCATCCATGTCTCCCGCATCCAATTTAAAATCGAAAATCTTTCGAGTAAAACGTATAAACCGTTAATGTTATGACATGGTATATAATTTCATTAACGCATTATTTCGTTTAATGTGATCAATGTTAACAATAGAAAATAAAAATATAAATACTTGAAAATTTTCAACTATTCGTTGTGGGTTTGTGCTCTTGGGTATGATAGACACACCCTTCTGATTAATAAACCTTAACAACACCTGTGCTGGAGTCTTGCCATGCTTTTTTGCTATATTGACCAATACTTCATTCTCCAACATGTTTGGTAACTGTTCATTTCTGTTTAAAAAACACCACATACACAAAAACAAACTCTTGATTAGTTACTAAGCCTTTTATTAGAAGTGAAGTTCTACACGGAAAATATTATGTCCATTTCATTACTTCCAACTAAGTCCTGCTAATTCTCTAAATGCTTTCATGCCCAGACTCGAGTACGATGTAAAGATTATACTATTATTTTTGCAAAATTCCACTACTTCCGGAGATTGTAAGTACAAATGGTTTTCGTTCTGGAGATTTTCGGGTTTAATTTTACAATTATCTAATATTCTTTGTACTTGTTTGATATTGAAGTTCGATAAACCTATCGCTTTCGTACGGCCATTGTGCACTTGATCCTCCATTTTCTGAAATAATTAACGTACCTTATTAACATCGAAGCTTAATTGTTTGGTTATTATATATTTTATTATTAGTAATATAGAAATAAAAATAAGTAATACAATTTTGAGTTGTATCTGGTTATTGATTACCATATCCATCGTTAATATAAGAAAAAATGTTTCAACAACCTACCTTCCAAATTTTTAGGTGATCCGTACTTTTATCTATCTCCATCTCACTATAATCAGATTTACCATTTTTAAACAAGCCTATTGGATGGTGTATTAGATACATGTCAATATAATCTAGTTGCAAGTTTTCTAATGATTGCTTAATATAGTGATCTACATCTTCAGCTCGATTTCCATAACACGGGAGCTACGTAGTAATACATTTATATCGTAATGTTTTAATCTTTGTTTTTAAAATAATTTGGAACTATACTTTAGTTTGGATAAATAATTCTTCTCTAGTCACTTTACCAGCTGAAATCCATTCATTTAAAACCTTTCCGATGACTGCTTCATTATTGTAACGAGCGGCTGTGTCAATGAATCTATAGCCAGTTTCCAGTGCTATATTTAAAGATTTTTCTAATTCAAGTTCAGTAGCCTAAAACAATATTAAAAGTCATAATTTAATAGAGTGAATAAGTTGTTTAAAAATAGTTTTAATAAAGTTATAAATTGTAATTTTTTTACAAGACTAAGTAATAAACAAATCAATAACCAAGTTAATTTAATAGCATTAATTTTCATATACGTAGTTTTGTAAAAATAAGGTTTTTTTTGTATTATACGCGTATAACATTTTGTAATTTTGTATGATACTGTGAGTATTAAAGTATGGTTTAATAAATTTTTGTATTATACTGTGTTATATACATTTTATACGGTATAAAAATTGAAATTCTTTATTAAAAAAATATACAAATTTGAAATTATCTTACAAAATTTAGATTTGATTAAAAAATCATTTCTTGTTTGAAAATTTATTTTTGTTAATAGAAATTGGAGAAATTAAATATAAAAATTAAAAGTAACAAGTAAAAATTAATAACTGATGACTAATAAATTATGAAGTGAATAATATAAAACTTTATTAAACATAAAGCAAAATAGTTTTGTTTCTTAATTTTATACGGAGCTATTGAATTGACTCCCTAACTCAGGTAATCATCATTTTTACGTATTTAATTGGCTCCTAAGATTTATGCATTGATTTGGCTCCCTACACATATATTTTATAAATCCATTGGTTATCAAAATTGTTTGAAAATAAATTCAACTATATGTACGTCTATACGTTAAAAATATAAAAGTTGAAAAAATACACGACTGTAATATTTTAGTGACACAGTGCCGGTTATAGTCTTGAAATTATCAATTCATTAATCCGATAACGGTCACAACTATCGACGTATTTATACAACCTATATAGGTATAGTACAGTATTTCACTGATATCATTAAATGCAGTAATTGCAGTACTCGCAGTTCGTATCCGTCGCAGTTCGTTGCAATTTTTTGTAATTCGTACCTATACATAGAATATAAAATGAATTTGGTTAAAATAATGACAAGTAAAAAGGGAGAATTAATTTTAATAGTTAATAAGTTTAAATTCAGCTACCATAAGCTTCTCCAAAATGGATTTAAACGATTCAAATGTACTAAACGAGGATGCAAAGCTTATTTAAGAATTAGTAACCAAGAAAATATTGTATGGGAATCGTCCAATCTTAACCACAACTTTTATATTTTAAGAACCACTTTTTAAAAATTATATTGGGAGCCAATTCAAGTCTTGACTAGGTACCTAACCTAATATTGGGAGCCAATTCAATGGTCACCATTTTATAGTTCTGACAATTATACTTATGTGTATAAATATAAATAAATTACAATTTTACTATAAAAATTTAACACTGTTATATAAAATTATTCTATACAGCGTACGAGTAAATACTACCATGTATAAAACGATATTATACATTTGTGTTATAGAATTCACATTACTGTATATACATTTAAGCAGGATCAAAATAAGATTAATTTAATAATGTACAACTATTTAAATGAGTAATTATTTTAAACTACTTTTTATATTTGTAATTTAATTTGAAAAAAATGCATTATAATATAAAAAAAAAACCAAGGAAGTCGTTCTGTTTTATAGTAGATTTCGACTGGATTTTACCTTGTCATTAAATCACTGTAATGGGTGTGTTAAATGTTGCACTCAATAATAAATCATTGTTTGCAGAAAACAATTCTGAACAGACTGTCAGTTTCTGTTTCTATGAATATTTTATAATTTATTTATAACAGTACTGTTCTGTTATTGCTATACCATATGCTGTAAATTTTGTATGGCTTTGTCGAACGGAAATTTTACGATTAAGGGACGCGATTAATAAATCGATTATTTAGTACTTGTTATAATTATAATTAAACAAAAAATTAAATATAATTCATGATAAATAATTTCAAAAACTCTCGTTAAGTATGAAAAACATAAATAAGTAATAACTTTATTAGAAGCATATATTGAAATGGTGAGATGTATCTTTTGAAATATAATCTATTTTTTTTTTTATATAAACACAAAAACTACAACTTAAAATAATTATATATACATATATAACTATTATGTTAATGGATAATAAATATTAGATCTTAATATATGATAAATATCTGAGTATATATATATATATATATATGTAGAGTATAATGTTATTAAAATTTTATAATTAAATATTTTTGATATTATGTCCTATTTTAATAAAATGTATAATAAGTACTGAATTAATTGATTTTATTGATCACGTCTCTGAATCATATGAATGCGAAGGGTAGAGGATATAACAGATTTATGGCCCAGGATGGTAATTGGTAATTTTTAGTAAATCTATAACCGGTTATATAGTAATAATTTGTGCTCTATATAATATAATCTATTAATTTATTTAATAATAGAAATATTCAATAATAATGTAGATAATTGTATAAAACTATAAAACCAAGTCGGGCTCTGACAGCCAAAGCGATAACTAGTGCGCCGTCGTAGTTTCGTAATGCGTCTTAAATATATATAATAACCGTACCTTATCTTTCCATTTAATTATCGCAACGAGGCATTAAAAACGTGTAATGGCCACGGTTTCACCAATTGTTATTCTAAACAAAAATACAGTTCGTAAAAAGAAAACTATGGAAAATCCTACAAAGAGAGCTCTCTCGTCGACTTCCTCAAACTCCCCGACCTACGTGGATAAAAAAAACAAAGTTTTCGTAACACCAAATCGTTTTGAAGTTCTAGAAATGGAGGAACAAGACAATGTTTTGTGCAAACAGAATCTCAGTGACGAATGCACAAAACAACGTGAGGAACCTGCAAAATGTACAAATTGCGATGGAAATCATACTGCAAACTACAAAGGATGTCAATCTCTTAAAAAAATACTAAACCGCACCAAACCTAAAGCTAAAAAAATAAATAAAGAACATCAACCTATTCCAACACTTACTATACCACCTCCATTTCGAAAAAGTGGAAATGAAGCCCCCAGTCCAAACCCAAAAAGGAAAACCGTCATACGCTGAAATCGCAGCTAACAGACCACCACCCGATCAATCTCTACACATCATCACCAAATTCCTCGACGAACTAAAATCTATACTTAACCCCTTCTTACTGTTTTAACATCTCTAATGAACAAAATAACACTCCCTATAACTCCTACTCCATAACACACACACACACCACATATTCCGTACATCAATAATACAAACACACAGTATATTTATTATATATATAACTCTAATATTAGTATTATGTAAACATATTTATACTTCTGTAATTTATATTTTAGATATATTTATCCCTTTCTTCTTATATAAAAATATTTATAATCCTCACGTTAATACACTAAAACTATATTGTAATTTGCCTAAACACCCATAGATGTAGATAACCTAAGGCTAGGAATGTCTTATGTAATAAATAAAAAAATAAAAATGGTAAAATATAAAGGATTTTTATAAAATTATAGTTTTGTTATCAGTTTATTTGATTTAAATATTTTAGAATGTTTCTTAACCTATTCTATTTTTAGTGATCAAGTTTGATTATTATTAGAATGGTGTTAGGTAAATACTTGATAATTAGACAATTAAAAGATGCAAATTAAATATTAGTTATTAATATACTTTAAAACAAAGATTAAATAGTTAGGAAATAATATAAACTGTAAATAACTATAGCAGAAATATTATAAATGTAAAAATTAGAAGTTTGAACGCACATATTTCGAATGAGATACAACGATAAAGACTTTAGAGAATAATATAATAAGATAAAATAAGATTATGAGAATCACCGGGAGAAAAAAATAAAATATTAATTCCTTAAATTGGCATAATATATTGATATTATTATTTACGTATTCGATTAATATTAGTTTCAAAGGACTTACCATAAATGTCCCATAACCTATTGCCGGCATTCTGCCACCTGATTGTAATTTAAAATATGCCATTATGTGTAAATCAAAGGTAATGCACGATATAAAAATGGTATTAATACTGATAAGCATTAACATTAAATACTTTTATTTATAGTGAATGACTTAACAGGTTGAGTGCCGCGGTATTTATGATTGTTGTATCACATATCACAGATTAAATAAAACCAGATAGTGCACTCCGGGATAAAACAATAGATTTCAAATAACAGTATCTAATTGGTTACTGCGCGTTGCAGTAGGACCAAAAGGAAGTAATGTAAATATTGTAGATACAATTTACAATATTAATAATATTGTACACAGATACAAATGCTATTTTTTATATACGAGTATATATTTATTTATTAAAAAAAACAAAATATACAAATATTTATAAGTACATAAAATATAAATAAAAAAACTACATTTAGATTATAATTAAGCGTAAAAGCAGTTTAGCTTGTCAAGCAATTTCTTGAAATTTTTCTTCTTCAAAATGTGTGTATTTACTTGCCATATTTAATGGTACTTTCAAGTTATGGTCAAAATACTTCCAAAAGTTTGAGCAATTTTTTTGGATGTATCATCAAATTAAGCATGAAAAACACACATTTGGAAAAAAATATGTTCAGTCACTCCAAACCATGTAAACCACATTGATCCATATTGATACATAGAAACAAAATATAATGATAATTAATAATTAATAATTACAAATGTTTTAATGTTGCTAATTTTCTATTTTTTTTTTATTTTTCAGATACCAACTCTTTATTTAAAAATTTAACTGATGAAAAAATTCTGAATCTTATAAATAAATTTAATAGACACTGTAGGTCCTAAAAATAAATTGTTAAAGCCAATTATTTTAGTAATTTTGAATACCTACAACCTGGTTTTTTCCTAGAGTTACACGTTGAATAAGACTTGACAATTAAAATTAAAGCAGGTGATAAATGTTTTTGACATTGCTTTAAGAAATTATCTGTGGAATCATATTCAGCTAATACATTACTTAAAATTGCAACAGTTTTTCCAAACTCTTAATTTTTTCCTTCGCTTCTTTCAATTCTCTTCTTAAAACAACTTTTCTAGGAGTAGAATGTGATAAGTGGCTTGGTGTCAGAGAAGATGAGTCTGAAGTGTTACTTAAAGATAAGCCTAAAAATAATAACAATACAAATTAATAAAATATTTATAAAAGTAAAGATTAGATTAAATTTTTAAAGCATTTTATTAAAAAAAAAAAGTATAAGTATAAGTATACTTATATCTATAAATTTAATGTCAAAATTAAAATTATAATACCATTTAAGAAGATTTAATTTTGAGTATTATCTGAGGAGGGCGCAGGCCAATTAGTACTATTTTAAAGTAAAGGGTGCAACGACATACCCTGATACCCCTCCCCAAATAATGCACTTACTAGACATACTGTACAAAACGCTACTACCTATATTTAATTTTTTTATATCCAACACATACTATGTTCTGTACTAATTTGAATTTATTCTCGCTTTAAATACAATAAAATTGTTATCCCCACGGACATCGTTAGTGTTTATTTCGTATATTCTTATATATAAATATATCAATTAGTTTTTGTCACACAATTATTTCAAAATGTATTACATAGAATAGTTCATTATAGTCAAAGTTACATAATAACGTATTACGTCTAATAGCATCCGAGTATATTACAAAATTTCATATTAAAGATAATTTAGTAATATCACAGGTTTATTTACCGAAGAACGTTTTCAATTGTATCACTAGTATTTCAGTTATGTCATCAACCGAAATCAAGACATCAAACTCTTTTCAATACGACTCAAAATTCGTAATCAGACTAGACTTGACAAACTATGTTTTCTCAGCCCCATTGAAAATATTCTACCTTTTGATACCTATAATGTAGCAGTTATAGTGTCTAAATCCTGTAGGGAAATGTTGTATACTTCAATGGTTCAAGCCAGTTCAAAACAACAGGCAGAAATCGAAGTCGATACTGATAATTTAGCTAGTCCATTGGTATAGAGGCCTGAAGTGACGTCTATAATTCACAATCGAAAACGTAAAAATTAGTTAGACGCATGATAAGTTGCGCATAGTATAAGCAGTTTCTGTTGTTCACCCTTGAGCTATAAAATTTATTGTATCTAAAATTTATAATAATTAATAATAATTTCAAATCATTGTTAAAGATAGCATATTATATACTCGTATTGTATTATTAAATTGCATATTTCATACATATTATTTAATAGTAATGTCTAAAACAATGTCAATCTTATTGATTATCATTTATCACAGATAAATGTTTTTGTTAAGTTATATTGGTTTTTATTTGATATATAGATATAATTAATAACATATCATTCAAATCAGCGGTTAGAGTTATGAGATGTTACCATTTTGAGCTAGTTTATTTTTCCAAATATACCATTATCAATGAATAATGATATTGTATGATATTAATTTTTTAGCGGTAAAAATTCAATTACGATTTACTATTAGGATAACATAAACTGTAATGCATTACAAATTTGAATATTTTCAGTTAATATATTTATTTTTTTAATTAATTAAATTTACTATATTTAAATACTATTATTTTCCACCAAATCTTCGCCAACGATCATACGTTGTTGACTACACCAGTTCTCATCCAATCATTGAAGTTAGCCACGTCGGGCGTATTATATTATTAAATATTTATACCGTTATTAATATAATTTTCATATTCATTTAAAATAAAACTATCGCGTGCTATCGACTGCTAAACCAATTAGATTAGCCCCTCATCGACCTCATCGGTAGACGTTAATAAATATAATTTATGGATATTGTTCTTGACTTTTTCGATAGCAGATAATATAACAATAAATATGAAGCACGCTGATTTTATTTTTCAATAAAATTTGAATTTCAAGTTATTTACAAATATTTTGAGATAAACACGATTATATAGAATAATGAATAAAAAAATCTAGAATAACTTGTAGAATAATAAGTAACGAATCATCGTAAAAATTAAAATGGTTTATAAAAATAAACCATAGCAATCAAAGAAAAATAAATGAATAAAGAATAACTTTTTATTCGACTAATGCTCAACTCTGTCCCAAGCATGCAGAAAAACAACTTTTTATTTTTTATTATGTTACACTTTATTAAATAGCTACTCATATAGGTACATTGATGTTTAGAAAATTATTTATTTTTTAATTTTTTTAATTTTTAATTTTTCAAATTGTTCATTCTCTGCTTCTCACAAATAAACGTTAATATTTGGTTCAACACAATACATTATTTTTTATTTTTTTCACTTGGAACATAAAATTATTTATTGTCTACATAAATAGCTTCTATAGTGACATAATAAGTTTTTTAAATTAATTTTTGAAAAAATAGTCAATTAATATAACTTCTTTCATTAGAAAATTCTAAAAAAAATGTTTGTAGTTCTCCTCCTGTTGAATTCAACAAATATCAATAACGTTTTCTAACGTTGTATGGTTTCACGTGACAAAACATTTCTCTTAAAAATTCTTATTTATTTTATTTTTTATTTGACTTATTCTTCAAGATAATAATGAGTTTCAATGTTCCACTGAACATAATCGTCGTTCATGACCTATGAGTTCACAATTTGAAATATAAAACCATTAAAAGTTTAGTATGAAAAAGATATCAGACTTAGACGTGTAAATCACCAATCTCTATGATCGACAAATATGTATAACTTGTTTGCTTTGTTTGATAATAACTTAATTTATATTAGTTAAAAAAATAAAATTGGTCAGCTTGAGCAGCTTTGAATCTGATATGTATTATGAATATTGAATAATATGAATTATTATCATTGCATGATTGCTGTACTATAATTATTTAGGAAGGTATAAGGCAAATTGTAAATTATATTATTATTGATTTTTTTATTATTTTTGGTTTGTAGCTCACACATTATTGCTATTATTAACTATTTTTATCTACATCCTTTTTTTAATTTTTTCCGTAGAGGTAAAATTTCCAATTATTGTAATTAAATATTTTAATAGGGTTCAAATAAATAATAAAATAAGTTAATGTGGAAACAATCACGTAAACTTCTATACTATTGTGCAGTTGTCTACACTCTACTGTTCATAGGCGCTTTAACTTTTAAATAAAAATACATTTTTTTAAGATTATCATTTATCATTATTATACTTTTCGATATGATAACGTGTTTTAACGTATTTTTTAATTAACTTAAACACATGTAAATTTATTAATGTCACAATTGTAAGAAACATAAAAATAAACTCTAATCAAAATTAAAATAGTTTATCACTTCTTGTTTATGTATCATAACATTTTTCATAAATTAATTTAATAATAATTACAAATTACAATAAAGACATTCAAAAATTATGATTATTAAATTATAGAAGGCATCAAATCTTGTTGACTGGGTGTCTGGGCCTGTGTATTTTATTTTAAAATTTTAAATACTTATACTTATATTTTATAAATTTAAATTAGTGTATATAGATGTATAAAATGTATAGTGAAAACACTGATATCATTGGTTCTTAGTAGTATTTATAAAATCATAATAATAAACACTGTGTTTTATATAATACATTTTGGTAAATATACTGATAATTGAATAACCTGACTATGTCTAGTTAGTTAATTAAATAAATCAACACAAATTATGATATTTAGTAAGAACAGTGCTTATTTAAGAGAAACTAAGTACTTAAACTATTTACTTCGATCAATGTGTATCATCGCGAAAATACCCTGTAAGTATACTTTACTAACATAGTTATTTACATACCGATACCTATATTTATTTATTTCACTAAAAATTCAATAAATATAATGGTATTTTAATATTCGATCAGTTAATTTAACGTAATAATCTAACTAAACTAGCTAAAGTATTATTTACATTCATTAAATAAGTATTTTTTATGAAATACCTAACTATTAACTAATTTTCCGTACAATTCCAAATTGTGATTTATTAAAGAACCTATCCACATTTTACTTTGTTAATAAATTAAATAAGTACGTATACTTTCAAGTATATACAAAATTCATTATAATTACTTGTAATACAAATTACAGATACGATATTGAAAAAGTTAACTATAGATCTATATTAATAGTTTATCATTATAAAACATAATAATATATCTTTTCAATTAATTATTGTCTCTTTAAAATGTATTAGTAATTATTATAAATAAGCTGTAACTTGTAAGTTATAAAATGGGAAATTAATTTAATCGTTTTAAAATTCAAAATAACAATTAATAAGTTTATTCAAATTAAATATTTGTTTACTGTTATAAAATATAAATTATAACATTTTGATGGTTTTATATAGATTTTAATATATTTATTTTTATAGTTTCTTGTTTATAAATGTTAAATTTATTTTGAAGGCGTTTTAAATTGTTTAATACGCTATGAATAATAAATAAGTTAAATATCTAATAAGAAATACATGATTTACATGTACTACGTGCGTGAAGTTAATCCTCCTCGCTTTAACCTATCTTAATCAAATCTACACCAATATTTTAAAACTTATTTGAATCTATTTGATACTTGCAAATTTTCGATTTCGGAACTTCAGACTTTTCCTAGAATACATACAAATGTTAAATTTAAGAAAATAAATAATTTATTTTATCACAAAATTATTAAGTTATTGGTTTTAACAGTTAAAAACGATTTTACTTACCAGCCGATGCGCCAGCTCTGCTCATTATAAAAATTTTGCGATTTTTGCAATTTTGAAAATTTTAATATAAAGTACAAATTTAGCATGAATTTTCATGACTATCGCTGAAATTCACACAATAATATTTTTTTTTAATTTTACCACAACAATATTTCAACATCAATATTTCCGTATAGCAACGTTTCATGAGAAAATTCTCGACAATTTCTCGACATTTTTTCCTAACGATTTATCATTAACAATTTAATATGCAGTAAAACTCATCTACACTTTGACACGATACGCAACGGTCGCCAGTACAAAGTAAAGGCACCACAGTGACCGGTTTACACTATCACCACCACCACCACGGGTAAAGACACGATATCGTCAACTCTCCTACCAACGCCATAAAGACCAAGGCGGGACGGGAAGATAAGTCGCGCCAGCGATCGATCTCTTTTGTCACGTCGGTCGCACATCAACCACGTCTCTAGTGTCACGACCATCGCACGTCTCTAACAGCATCTCATATTCCAACTATTGTTCGACGAACTCTACAACGGCTCTAGAAGGACTCTACCACGTTGAATTCACTAAGCCGCGTCCAAGCACTGAAGGTTAAGAACGTCATCGCCGTATCCGTCTAACCAACCTGTTTGTGTAGCTCCATAGGTACCCCTGCGGGCTACGAGCATCTACAATCATGCGACCGGCTTTCCACGGACCAAAACCATGACAACCGCCAAAGCCGCGTCAACTTTACCCACAAACTTATTAATTTATCTGTGAAATTTGATATAGACAAATCAATTTTTGACGCATCAATAAGTTTCAAGCGTAGTTTTACAATATCAACTAAAAAAAAAAAAAAAATTAAGCAAAAAAACTATTTATAAATTAGGGATGTTAAAACTAAATAGTAAATATCATTGTTCGGAAATTGTTATTAAAATATTGTTCTCACTTTTCTTTCCATGCATAGATATTTTATGAAATAACAACATCATTTAATTCTTAAATTCTAACATAAATTAAATGTTTATATTATACCTATACGGCTATACTTACATGTTTCATGTTTGTACATACTCTTACTTCGCTTGTATACCAGGCACCGGGCACAATACTAAAATATCAAATAATATTATCGATTTTAATAATTATTATGAAATATAAATGCGGTTAAATTGGTAATAAAATTACTCGTGAATCGTGATATAGATTGGAATAACTATCGGTTATCTAGAAGATAACTCAGTGTTATTTAAATTTTTAAATCCTATGGGTACAGCCCTCACATCAAATTATAATATTCGCGGGGTATAAGAGTTCAAATAGAATCCGTCTGCGGAATAATTCTTCGTGCACATATTACACGGCATCAAACAAATAAACATAATTCATGATAGTGTGTTTGTCGAAATGATCGAATCGACTAATAATACTATTATATATACTTCATAATTTATACTTAAAATCGTAATGATTTTAATTGTATTCATTAGCTGACGAGAACGCATTTGCGACTATTCATCATAATAGCGACAGATATTTCATATTGGAATGGACGTACACGGCGATGTTTTACACGTTTTCGTGTTTTGTTTTTTGCCGTCTTATCTACTCTGAAAGCATATTGAAACCGTACTTGGACGACCTGACGCTGGACAACATCAACTACTCGCTGATGACGTCGCTGTCCGTCCTTATTGTTTTGTTGAATCCGTTGTTGGCGAACAAAGCACGCGAGAACCGAGAAAAGTATTTCAAAATCTGGAGAGAATATCAGGTTTAAACACTTTATACTTTATACTTTATAGCATAGCCTGCATATTAATATATTATAATCATATATAATACGCCATAAATTGTTACCATGAATCTAATTGTGCAGGACTTTGTATCAAATATCAATAGGAAAACCGTGACCACATTTTTATAAGCAACTTAGTATTACATCTAATTATGTAAGATATGACAAAAATCTAATCTTTTTTTTTAACGCGTTTATTTTTATTTAATAATTTCGACGTGTGTTTTCTATGATAATAATAGGTAGGTAGGTACATCTAATTCCTAATCTATACAGAGCAGTTTATTTTTTCTATGAAAACATCATTGGGTACATTGGTAAAATAAGAAGGAGGAGTAATCCCCCAACTATTTTCAATTTCACAGGAAATCACTAAAAATACAATAAAATTTCGTTAATATATTTAATAATTTTTGTTTTAAATTACAAATTTTAGTGATGCGTAAATATCGAAGTAGTTACTGAAATAACTAGATAATTAAATTTTAATACTTCAAACAATAAAAAACTGAAATTAAAGGTCGCTTTATTTACAAAATTTTAGTTGAACTTTACTTGTTAATAAATATATATTGTAAAAATGTCATGTTATAATATGTATACGTATTGTAAGCGATAAATTGGTTCGCCTTGCCAAATAAACTTATATTATATTTAAACATGTACATTTTTCCCTATTTCTTTTACAGATTCAATATGAACAGTATAGTGTTTCGGAATTGAATCTCGGTTCATCGATTCTTATCGTTTTGCTAATCGTTGGTGGTACAATCATAACAACGCTTGAGTTGGTCGCAAACTGCGTCTTAACATCACAATTAAACCCCACTTACATCTACGCTAATTGGCTTATTTATTTTTACACAAACCTTACGACCATCCAGTGGGTCACGGACTGCCATTTATTGACTTTAGTCTCCAAGAAATTGCTCAATCAATTTTTGGTAAGTTTTAAGTCATTGATAGATCTACAATACGATTACCTACGTACCTAAATATTAGGTATATGTTATATATTTTCGTATTCGCTCTTTCAATCCCACTTTATACAAGATAAAACCTAAAATATATTCATACAATCATACATGCAGTATTTTGGAGTAAGTACCTATATACCCATTGGCCATTTCTAATAGATGGATTCCATTTTCTCGTGTAACAACATATTTCAAATATGTTGTAAAAGTATTCCAAGTTTATATATTTAAATTAATCACGTACACATTTAATTACACTAATTTATATTTTCTATATATTAATAACCTTAGATTATACTGTCCGCATTAATATGTCTTGTGTATTCCATATTATGTTCTATTGTTAAAAAGTAAAAGACTACGTATCTATTCATTGTACGCAATATCTATGTATTACGTTTAATTAACTGAAATTATATAGATACTAACAATACTGTAATTTTGTTTACAATAAATAGTTTTATGATTGTATCCTGAGACACTGCCACAATATGGAAGTTTTATCTTTTTATTAATATCTATAAAATAGATATTATTATAATTATTTGTCTATTATAATTTTATTTTATCTACCTATATTGTGTGTTTGTGATATACCGTAAAGTGAAAATATTTTTCCATTAATCGGTGTAAGAAACGCAGCCAAAATCTTATGTCCCTGTTGCATTATTGAACTATACGTACCAACGCAATCACTTGAATGATGAATATATTTATATATTTATAACTCCGGTATTTATATATAGGCACGGACAATAACTGTGAATTCATCGGGCAGAATCTTTAGCGACGGCATAGGTGTTGAAACGCACGTGTCCCATTTCGTCGAACTTTGGCGAAAACTTTCCGACATGTCCAGTGGGCTCATAGATACCGGTTGTGGCCTCTACGAATTCAATTTCGCCGTGCAGTCGGTGATTGTCGTGCAAGCTTTATACGGTATCGTTGCCCTGTACATTGGACAACATCAATCAATCGTACACTACAATGTATACTTCCCGACCGCCGCATGGTCCATCATAAACCTGGTTGCTCTGTGCGAGGCTGCGTATTCGGTCACTAATCAAGTGAGTACACCCATGAGTCATGACCCAACCATCAGATATATGTATAATAATATAGTTTACCTAGTACATGTAGATACACCACGCGTTTAAAGATAACGTCACAGTTCTTTAAATTCCGCTCGTAATGATGAAAAACTTCATAAAATGGCACACTATACAAACATGTACTTATTTTATAAAAGCGCACGTTATTGGCAGTTCGCATTACATTATATCATGATTAAAGTTTTTATAATTCGGATATTATTCATAATAATGTTCGTTAAATTTAGGCAAAAATAAAATTGTTTTATGAATTTGTTTCGTAACATTGTTTAATACTATAGCAATTATGTACAGTATAGTACCTATAAAGTGTAGTATGTGTGTGTGTGGAAAATTATACATTTTTCGTGAATCACTTATCATAAAATGTTAAATATTATGTGGAAAAATGATTTTTATTGTAAATTTTAGTTTTTCTCAAATGTCATCGTAATTGCCTATATTAAACCCCTTAAATAATAAGTGTAATTTTACTCTGTGAAAATTTAAAAATTTAATTATAATTAAATAATAAATAAAAACCAACTAATATAAGTTACTATTTTATAGGTGGGATTCAAAACCAATATAGCAATACAATCAATAACTTGCAATAACTTCAGTTTAGAAACTCAAGAGCAGGTAATTGCAGATGAAAGTAATTTTATAATGATTTCTTCAAATTAATTTCAATACAGAATATTAATGACACTTTAACTATTTATATTAGATTTTCACAGCTCTGAAAACTATCCAATCTCACATACCTGTAATAACTGTGAACGGTTACTTCACCATGGATCGATCATATATATTGAGCGTAAGTAAAAAACATAATAAAATAATTTGATTAACAATCATTATAGAAATATAATAAAATAAATGTATTCATTTTGACAGTATTTAGGAGTAGCTGTATCATACATCATCGTTCTGACTCAATTTAAAATTAGTACTTCTTAATTCATTACATCCGGAAAATACCATATTTGGTCTGTTGTAATGGTGAATTATGAATGGCAGATAAGCTCAAAGCCAAAATTTGCCTCGTCTGAGCAGGATCAATAACGCCATCATCCCAACATCTATTAATATTTTGGGTGTCAATATAACATAATCATAATTTTCATTCACATCTAAAACTTTTGTTTTAACTAATTATTATTTTACTTACCTTGCACTGGAATAAAATGGATTTCCTTCATTCTCAAATTGTCTGATCACTGGATCTTTTAACATTTTTTCTTCTTCTTTCGTTAACTATAAAAATAATAACAAACAATAAATCATATTATTAAAACAGTAACAATAGTGAATTGGTTTTACCTGATTTCCTTCTCTAATCTTTTTATCATTTTGAATTTGGGCAAGAACACCTGCAGCTTGTTCGCCTCCCATTATGCTTATTCGAGAATTAGGCCACATATACATAAATCTTGGTCTAGACATGATGCATAATATAAAAAATGTTGATTTAATTTTAACCTGATCAATAATTTCTCACAAGCTATTACAATTAAAAACTCTATATTTTTGTATTACCTACCCATATGCTCGTCCACACATTCCATAATTTCCAGCACCATAAGATCCACCGATCACAACTGTAATTTTAGGAACAGATGCACATGATACAGCTGTAACCATTTTAGCACCATTTTTAGCAATACCACCAGCTTCTGCATCTTTTCCAACCATAAAACCTAGTAAATTGTTCAATATTGTCAATAAACTAATTGAAAAATAAAAAATATTTAAATATTTTTAAATATTATTTAACATACCAGTAATGTTTTGCAAAAAAAGCAATGGAATATTTCGTTGGCAACATAGTTCAATAAAATGTGTACCCTGTATAGAAATTTAATTTTAAATCAATATTAATATTTCATGAATCTGATTATGATGCATAAGCACATATTTTAAAGGTGCTATCAGAAACTTCCCTCTCATTAATCATATCTTTTTAATGATACATTTAAATTATACCTAATCTATATATTATTATAAAACATAGATACCACTATAATTACCTAATTAACTGTGAGACATTTAAAAGTCAGCTAAGAACAAAAATATAGCTTATAATCAATACATATAAAAAATATTGTATTCGCCTATCCCATCACAATGAGAACTTAAAATATTCTCTTGTTATTATAATATATTAAATACTGAACTCAAATTTCTATACCTTCAATGCAGACTCAGAAAATAGTACCCCATTATTACCAATTATACCAATAGGGTAACCACATAATTTAGCGAATCCAGTTACCAACGTTTCTCCATAATTTTTCTTAAATTCAGAAAATACTGACCCATCTACAATTCTTGAAATCACCTAAATAAATTAATAATCATGAGATCATCAAAATAAAGGTGAAATTAAATACAATGATTATTATTTTATTACCTCTCTGATGTCATAATTTTTTTTTAAATTGTCACCAACAATTCCATATAATTCTTCATCGGGATATAATGGTGGCTCTGGCACATCAATATTATTTTTTATATTTTGTTTATTGTTATTATTATTTAAATTTGCAATAATGGTTTTAGTAATGTGAAGTGCGTGATAATCATCATTAGCATAATGATCAGAAACTCCAGAAACACTAATACAAAATAATTTTTAATAAAATAAATTATGAAGAATACTTGACAATTAATAAGAAATAATCATAATTTAGAATTTATTCAATGATGTATGAGCTTATTAATATATTATTTAAAGAAATTTATAAAAAAAAATAAAATGAATCTCGTTTAATCATCAATCTTTAACATTACTACAACAATATTTTATGTACTGCATAATATGTACTTGGGGTAGATTGGTATTTATAGAGCTCAGAGTTCAATACAATTATATATATATATATTATATATATATTATTTTTTTTTGAATGTCTTACATAATGCTCTCAAATCTATAAATGTGCTTCAAGTACCTACTTATTATTCTAATTACAAAAATTTTTTGAGACATTTTTGACCTATTTCTAGTATTATAACAAAAAAAAATTTACTTCATTGAAATATAAACATAGTACTACATTATGAATATAGTTTTAATTGTTAACTTTAATAACATTGGTAGATAACCAACAATCATTTAAATTTCAATATATTAAAGAAGCTTTCATTGTACAGAGTTATACTTTTTATTTTCTGTCTCATATATAATATTTTTACTCATTTTTTTTTTTTATATATATACTTATTTACACCTATACAATTTTAACATTTGTTTATTTCATTAATACATTGTTTTTGTTCTTTAAAAAATAATAATAAAATAAAAAAATAAAAATAATTTAATGTAAATTAATTTTTGAAACATTTTTAGGTTTTTATATTATAAATGCAGTTTTTTGTATTTTAAGACATTTAATTAGAACTCTAGTTAAAAATTAAAATTATGCATAGTATTCTTACGAGCAGTGAAGTTTGGCACCACCAAGATCTTCTGAAGATACTATTTCACCAGTTGCAGCTTTCACTAAAGGGGGACCAGCAAGAAAAATTGTTCCAGTCTTTTTGACAATTATACTTTCATCAGCCATGGCAGGTAAATAAGCAGCACCTGCTGTACAACTCCCCATCACTACAGCTATCTGAAATATTTTTGTAATTATACAACACTAATAACACTAATATAATTCTATAATTTAAATATCTAACTTGAGTTATATTTTTTGAAGACATGATTGCTTCATTAAAAAATATTCTCCCGAAATGCTCTCTATCAGGAAAAATTTCAGCCTGTTTTTTTAAGTAACCGCCTCCAGAGTCCACCAAATAAATACAAGGTAAATTATTTTCACTCGCTATTTCCTGGGCTCTCAAATGTTTTTTTACTGTGATAGGAAAGTAAGAACCACCTTTAACTGTAGCGTCATTTGCAATGATCATGCATTCCTTTCTATCAACAAAGGATTTATTAATTTTGAATTAAATTAATTTATATATAAAATCTGTACCTAGAAATACGTCCGATTCCTGTAATTATTCCACCACATGGGACTGTTTCTTTATAAAGATCATGTCCAGCCAACTGTGACAATTCTAAAAATGGTGAACCTGAATCCAAAAGATAATCTATACGATCACGCACTAATAATTTTCCTTTGGATGTATGCCTTAACTTATCTTTTGAATCACCACCAGATATTGAATTAGCTACAGTCTTTTTCAAATTGTGCACTAGAATTTCCATTGCTGTTCGATTTTCCTAAAATAAAGAACCAAAATTTAAATTTCTGATCAAATGTACACCACAATTGTAAATTTAAGAATATATTAATTATTAACCTGATATTCTTTAGAATTAACATCAATATTTGTTTCCAGTATAGATCCATTTGAGACATCAGAGAAATGTGATGAACATTGACAACCACGGAAGATGACATATCTTCTTAATATTTTAGTACTGCTTAACATTTTTATTAAAATACTCTTGCAATTTACTTTTTAATAAATCTTTAAATCTATAACAGTTAGTAAATAATCATGAAATATATATATTTTGTTTTATATATGATACTAATATTAATTATTGAGTCAACATCAATGTACCTAAAAAAAATATGTAGAACCTTTTCCCAACAGCACATAGCTAATTACTACTACTACAGCATTGTTTATAACATGAATCAATAGAAACTCTGACGTTTTAAATTGAACAAAGTACATACAAAGATAAGATAAAACTTTTAAGAGTTCAATAGACCACCAATAATATATGTTATGTATATAGGTACCTACATAATTTATACCACCAATACTTGTATAGATGTATAACAATTATAATTTATAATATTTACAAATTTATATTTTTATGTGTAAGATTACATGAATAGAATAAACTATTTAATTAGTATTAAAATTTTATAAGCAGTACTTTTAAAAATCTAACCTATAAGCAAATTATTTGTTCTAATAACAATATTATAATATTATATTATATACCAATTAGTAAATGTACTCGTCCAACTTCATATTTTTTATTAACCATATTATAATAAATTAAATACCAAATTATTATTTAAAAATCTCTCAAAATAGTCAAACATATTAAATAATCAAATACTTTACATTTCAAGACTACTAAATCTGAAATTATAAAAAAAAGTTGTGATTATACCAATAGTAAACCCGTAAAGGTGATATTACTATAATATTATCATAACAATAATTGGAGATTATATAAGTCTATGTTACCAGAGTATCACAATATTAATTATTTATTTATTTATAAACTCCTGGTAAAGACAAATGTCACAAAATTAATATGAAAATATTCTCTGGAAGGTAAGGTATTCCTAAAGGAATTATAGGTTGAACTCATAAATTGTATGCCTATCGATAGTCGAGCAATACCAGTAGCTGCTTTAAATATGAGGTACCAGTAAACAGTATACTTGTTATGCTAAAATATGGAATAAATTCCAAAAACTTGTAACAAATAAAAATATCTACAACTCATATACCTAAATCTAATGGACTATAATTTTCCCTTACAGTACCTCTAACTTTAATTAGTTATACATAGTAATCATCAGATTCCTGGTGGACATATTTAAAACATTTTGATTCTTAACAATAGATTAATATTTAAATTTGTGTAAAGTTAATAATTATATACTTATGTTTATGTTTACAGTATACCTATAATTCTTAATTTATAATATGTACGTATATTATTATGGTCAAGTATTAATTATCAATAATTGAACACAATTAATAAAAAATAATAATAACCATCAAGAGTTTATATAATTTAATTTTAGGCATATGTAGCATATAAATTAATAAATTATCATAATGTAATTTCTTATCAGCTATTCCTACAAATCAATGTAACTTAAATACTAAATTAATGATGATGAATAAAAATCACAATAAACAACATACCACTGAGTTCCATGCAGTCATGGATCATAACACACACAAAATACTGAAACTGCGTGTAAGGTGTATATAATACATACCACTAACTTCTATTAAATTAAAACTACTAGGTACTGGCAAATACTATAAAAATATAATATATTTACATAACCAATTAGAAATAGCACTGATTATAGAATACATTTATTCAAATTTTCAATTTAAAACATGTAAAATATAATCCATTTTAAATATTTTGTAGTTTTGTACTCAACAGATATTTCATTATTTAACAATCTATAGTAATCAGTAGGTCAGTACTCAGTAAACTATAGAAATAGAATCTATATTTATTGTATTATTAGTAACTATTACTTATGACATAGATATACTTCTAATATAAATTACAATTTCTGATTAGTAAAATTTAATCCAGAGTCTGGACTATATTAAATTAAATTCATTGTTTTTGGTTATAAAATATTTAATATTTAAATCACTGATAATTGATAATATTCTATCACAGTTGTAGCGTACATAGACCTTACCTTATACCTTAATATAAGGTCTATGAATAAAAATGATTCCGTTCTGTTTATTCTGTGATAGTATATCAAAATTTCAATTTTGGCGCGTAATATTATCTTAATAATATGGCTAATTTCCAATTCATATATTTTTATTATTAACTATTAAGTACCTATACAATCTTTCAGTAAAATAATTTATAATTTATATTATTTAGTATTCAAAGTTCTTTTGTATTCAGTGGATGTTACAAATTTAATAGTTTATTGAAAAATAGCTGAGGATTTGATAATGTAAGTACCAATTTAAATGTAAAAAGAATCAAAAATATAAAATTCTTTACTTTTAATATTTTAAGACAATTATTTAAGTATCTAACCATTATTAAACACACTGCTATCGTAAATTGTATTTTAAACTTATACAATATGAATCAGCTATTAAATGTATGTAACATGTAACTATGTACAAATATGTGCTTTTTCAGATTATTTATCATAGAAAAGTATTATAAGTAATAATCATTGAATAATAGGCTTCGAAATATTGATTAAACAATTGTACATACACTGAATATTTATGCATCATTTAATAAAAGCTATTACTTAGTACAATACATATTAATTGGGACTATAACTTATAACTTATATTTAGAATATAAAATAAAGTATATCTAAGAAAAAAAATTATTAAAATAGGTATAATTTTTTTAATTTATTTTTAAAGCTTTTCATAAAACTTAAACCTAATTGAACTTTAAACATTTCTATCAATAACTCTCTATGTCCTTTCTAATACCCCCTAATACATTACTATTGTCAGTCGTGTACTCATGTTTTACATTATAACTTCAACATACCAACAATATACATTATACACCTATCACCATAATAAATTTCATAAAAACTCCTTCAACCACTCTAACCTTCTCATATCCAAACCCTCTTGTATATTACTTGATGACTCTTTATGTCATCTCAAAAATTTATAATAGTGTGATCTATTAATTAATCAATAAAAACTTACTCCCTGTGTAAATAAATTGGAAGTAGTGTTGATAGATGCTCCCTTCCATCATGTTTTTCAAGTCTTATACAAACATTAACTGATTTACTTATTGTACTTATTGTATTAACTGTGTATATATATTGTAAATGTATTTTATAAATAATAATAAAAATAAAGTATCTAAAATATTATATCTAAAATGGGAAAATAGAAAATTAAATATTTATAATGTTCTTAATCGTGGTACCACCATTCTAAATTTCTTATTTATATAATTATATATATTGAAAATATAAAAGTTTATTAATATTTGTTTTAAATTATAATGAATCACTACTAATTTTTGTTACTTTTATTATTGAATACTATTTAGTATAATTACAAAACAAATAAATAAATTCGTAACAAAATAAAAAAGAATAATTTATATAGTATTAGTGTTTTGTTACGAGCCTAGGGCGCATATATTATATATCATATAAAATTGTTCTATAACAAATATTGTTCGGTGTGGCGACACGTAATATAAATAATATATAATCAATAATGCAAGCGGTGTGAGACCATGATGAATATCATCATGAACTTAGTCATGAACTTAATATTATTTAATTTAACCTGTTAGATGTGTTCACACGTCGCTCACTTCTGGGAAATGCGAGGGCCTGGATAGGGAGACAAGACGACGAGAATATAAATAACGAGACTCCTCGTACTAAAAGAGTCGCCACCACCATAACCACCACTCTTTTGTGAATCGATCATAATATAATATAAGGATACTCCAGACAAGAATTCAGCAGTTTGTTAAGAAAATCTTCTGAGGCAGGTCGTAATACCATAGTCTCGTCTATCATTATTTTAGAGTCAGGTCGTAATACTGCTCACCTAACACCGTATATTTTACAATTATTGTACTTTTGTACCTAAGTTTACGTTAAATAAAGATTTTTTACGCTGATTACATCACGTATTCATTCCTACGTTAGTATATAAATCAACTTAGTCGGGACGCAACAGCCAACAATTAAATAATAAATACTTATTTAAAAAAAAAATTATAAATAAATAATATAGATATGTATATTATCTATTTGCTATTTAGTCGTGATAGTGTCTACACAATTTGACAGCTGCATTTTCTTTTCAGACTTCATATTACTGATAACAAATATCGCTTATCAAATAGATATCATTTTTTATTTTATTCAAAAAAACAATGTCAGTTTGATTCTAAATAATATTATGTTTAACCTTTTGATTTTCTTGTAATGTCTTTGAATGAAATTTTAACGAAAATCATCCAAAAGTTTTAATCAAATATGGTAGCACTCGGTGCCTTTCCAGCCGCCAAACTTGGCGCTTTACTGTTGCGCCAAGTAAGTAAACCAATCGCTAATTTCGTCAAAGAGCGAGCAAAACAATCTCCAGTATTTCGTTCGTATGTTTGCATGCCACCTGCTCAGTTTTACAATTGGTGTGAAGTTAAAATGAAGATGTATTTCATGAACCTTGGTACCGCGGGAAAGGTCAAACCTTTAAGTGAAACTATGGCCATTGAACTCGGATCAAATTTACTAGGCGAAGGTATTATATTTGTTGTTGCTGCTGCCTTACTTTTGCTTGAATATAATAGGCAAGTACGTAAAGAACAAGCTAAAGAAGAAGTACGTTTACAAGAACAAGAAGATTTAACTAATGCTATAAGGAATTTAGATTTAATGACCGAACAACACAGTGCAGAATTAAGACGTCTTACTTACCTAGTTGATGATTTAATATCTAAAGTTAATAGTAAATCATACCCTGGACCTGGTATCACCTCGGAGACACCGAAAAGTAGTGGTAGCAAAGTCAATACCAAACAACAAGAACCAGAACTGAAGAAACAAATTTCTAATGATAAAAATGAAAATTTATTATTTAAGAGCATTAAAATTTTAATTCAACCTATACAACAAGTTTGACTAGATTAGATTTTTTTTTTCTTGTAGAATCATATTGTTCAGATATTGTTAACACTTAACTAAAGGGACTAATAAGTTCATAATAAAGGTACTTATTAAAAATTGTGTTTTAAATTTATTTTTACCTAATACCGTGAAATCGTAAATTTATAAAAATAATGATGGATGATGAATATATTCAAGTATATTTGTTTTTAACTCCATTTAGATCTAAATATTGATGATTATGTACATTTTTTTCATGATATCGTTCACTTGCCAGATGCTAAATCATAATAATATTTTAATTGTTAAATACTACAAAAAGGATTTTTAGTAAATATATGCTTCTGTAAATTTAAAACTAAGTTCACGTGTAGTGTTATAGATACAAATGAATTAAATACATTATTTTATTTTTATCAGACAATGATACAAATTATAATTCATTAAAGTAAATAGTAAATACAATTAATTTATTACAGCTATAAATAATACTTTATTAAAATACAAATTTCAAGCAGAATTAAAATGTTGATGAGTATTTGTTTTTTAAAACTTACCATAACCAAAACATCATTTAATGTTTAATTTTAATATACTGTTAAATCAAATAGTTAATATTACAATCATAACATAAATATAATAGAAAATAATCCTTGTCAAAAGTTCTACATGCTTAAAATAATTATTAGATAACTATTTAGTTTTTAATCTTAGTTGGATTAATAATAATTCAAACATTTAAACCGTAAAAATCCTAACATTAAATCTAAAATAATATTTTTTAGATAGATGTGTAAAAATGGGTAAATACCTACGATTTATACACTTTAAAAAACGTAAACATTTGTAACATTAAAATTAATTAAGTATATGATTATAATTTATATAATTAAAATGGTATAAAATTAAAAATATATGAGAAATTATATTATTTACAATGTCAGAAGTTTATACAGCCCATTTAAGACATCGTGTAGCTTGGTGGGTACTAAAACACGAAATACAACAATATCGTGCACCACATGTTGTACATGTGTATGAACTTTTGAATCCACAAACTGCACAAAATATTCGACGTGGCAAGTTTGATGAGGGTGCTTCTATTGTATTATAGTTGGGTGGATCACGGTTATTAAATTGATCGGCTTCAATTAACTGTTCAAATGTCCTTCGAAATCTAATTAAAATTAAATTGAATTTTTAAAAACACACTATTTACAATACTTAGAATATAATACTAAGATGATTACTTTTGTTTATAGTATTCGGCACTCTTTTCCTTTTTACGTCTCCCTCCTTTAGCCTCAATAGTATCTAAAAATTTAGGGGCTTTTTTATTCAATACAATATCAGCATGTGGATCTTGTTGATAGTTGTCCATTTCCAAACTTTCCAGAGCTCGACGTGCTCTACGATTTCTAGTTGCTGTATCAAGTACCTTTTTTTTATCTGCATCTTTTAACCTTCCCGATTCCCTACCCATTCCTACTTTAGAAGACATATTTAATTAATAGAAAAAAATAATTAAACAGTTAAATATTTAAATAGTTTTAATTTTGAGTGAAAGTAAGTTGGTCCATTAATTCGTCAACACGATCTTCCAATGTGTCCAATACATCAGTTGAAACAAATAAATGTTCTTCGTCCAATTCTTGTAGAATAAATTTTTTTCCAAGAGCGTTAGTTTGATCCAATTGTAATAAAAATTGTTTCATTGACTGATCACTTTAAACAAAGATGGTTAAATTAATAATAAGCATATAATGTCTGTGTTCTAGAATTTAAACAAAAATGTCTAAAAGAAAACAAGTCAGTGCAGAGGAAAAACGTACCAGAATGTTGGATTTATTTCATGAAAAAAAAGATTTTTATCAGCTAAAAGTAATATTTTAATAAAATTAAAAATTGATAGCAACAGACTTTTAATTACTCAATTAGAACCATAATATTTTGTTATTTATTCATAGTTTATTTCTTTTAAATACAATACAATAAAAAAAAAAAAAAAATTATTTTTAGTTATCAGTTATCTATTTTATTATTATTTTATTGAAAAAAATGTATTTTAACTATTTAGGAATTGGAAAAAATTGCGCCAAAAGAAAAACAAATAATAGTGCAATCAGTAAAAGATGTCATTCAAAATTTAGTGGATGATGGTTTAGTTGACACAGATAAAATAGGAACATCAGTGTATTTTTGGTCCTTTCCAAGGTAATTTCTTTTATTGACTGTAATTCTAAGTATTTTAATATATTCTATGTACTTGCATATCTAATATTTTTAATGTTTTCAAACTTGTAGTAAAGCAAAAATTTCTAAGAAAAATGTATTAGATAATACCAAAACAAAATTAGACGAGTATGAAAAAAAACTTAAACAAAACTTGGAAATAATTGAAAAAGAAAAAGCTAAGAAAGAGATAACAGATGAAAGACAAGCACTTTTAAGCAAACTCAAGACACTCGATGAAGAAAAATTGCGTTTAGAAAGTGAACTAAAAAAATATGAAGATTCCAATCCAGTTGAGTATGAGCGTATGAAGAAAAGCATAGAAGTACGTAAATGTTCAACGTTAGATTACTGTTGTATGGTATAACATTGGATGAATAAGAACAAATTTTTGATTTTATACTCATGCTGTAACTTTATTTTAAGGTGGCTAAGGAAGCGGGAAATCGTTGGACAGAAAATGTTTTTTCAGTAAAGTCATGGTGCAAGAAGAAGTTTTTCTTAGAAGACAGCGTCATCGACAAACAGTTTGGGATTCCAGAAGAATTAGACTATATAGAGTAATAAATAATGTTCAAAACAGTTCATGTATACTATATTACTACTTACCATGTAATTAACGTTCCCTTGGAGACGTGAACCATATTTTTTCAACTATTAAAAAACTGTGTATTAATTAATTTATATTTTCAAACCAATCAATATCAATGGATACCAACGCCCACAACGACTGATTAAACAAATAAGCTAGTCTATTAAATAATAGTCTACTAGACTACGTCTAGAACTTTAAAATAATAAAGTTAAGATTTAATAGTAATCCTTGCGTTTCGACGTATCACCAAACACCGGTGACGACTGACATACCGTAGGACTGTGACTAGTACTGTACTGGTGTAGTTGTAGTATAATTTTTCGCGTTCTATCTATATTTCATGCCCATATCGCTAACATATCTGTACGTACTGAGTTATCATTTATTGTACGATCTGATGTTGGTCACGGTACATACACTAATACTACTACAATATAATGACCATCGAAGTTTATGAATCGCGAGAGTGCGTGACATATTCCAAAATTTAATCAGGGTTTTGAGAAAAGCGCCAGATTACTGATTAGTGGTTACCAGAACGTCCAGAACCTGAATTGATGGCTGATGCAGCGACGTCCTTCACGAACTATAGAGAATAAAAAATTAAATATAAGGAGATTATTTAATATAATGATTTTAATATTACATTTTATACTTAAATATGTATAATTTTTATTTATTGACACTATCAAGGACCCAGGAGGTGATTGCCCCTTTACCTCCTTGGCTAGTCCTCCGCTATTTACTACACATACATATTAGGTACCTACCTATGTATATATTTATAATAAATAATAAATTAATATTTCAATACATGGTACCAATTTTAATGTATGTACCTACATATGAAACCAATTCATTGAATTCAATATAGCATCTCCTTATAGTGGACATAATTTAGTTTCCCATGGCTGTCACATAGAGATTTTACTATTTATCATCTTTATCTTGCTCACCTTTTGGCTTTTGCCTATTTTATATAATAATGGAAATAAGTGTGAATTGTTGATTACTTAATATTCTTTCGGGTCGCTTAAAAAATGTGTAACACTAAAAGGATTAATATTAAATATATAAATTATAATTGTTTTACTATATAGACGTGATGAATCAACGACGACAACGTTTGGATTGTTCAATTTGTTCACTTATCAGACTCGTATTTTTATAATTTTGTGCTGAGAAATAAAAAAATAAAATATGCGTCTACGTCATTTGAATAAGAAATTTACCATGGTCCGTGATCCATGATAATATAATTTATTGTTATAAAAAAATGAATAATTGCCGATACTTGAAATTTTCACAAAATATTCATATTAGCATTTTCTATTTTCATATAAAAATATAGATGAAATCATAAAGACTAAGGTCTTTATTAACATTTAATTTTTTTTTTTAGTTGTTTAGGTATTTATATGATAAAATATTTATTTTTAGATAAAAAAAAGTTTAAAAATTGAATGTAATATTTTTTATAAGTTTCTCATAAAAAAAAGGTCATCATCCTTAAGTCAAACTAGATCCCACTAATTTCCTGTAAGCACATCATCAAGTACCATTCCTAATCCATCGAGAAGACTTAACAGAAAATGGGCAAAAAATGGTCTTTGTTAAATAATAATGACAAAATAGTTTCCTCCCTAAAGTGCACATTTAAATATTAGAATTTAAAGATAAAATTATTAAAATTACCAAAATTTGTAAATTATTTTATAGCTAAAGATTTTTAATATTTATAGATTCATAAGTATACGTAAGTAGGTACCTAATGATTGAAAAGGTAATACAAAGTTTATATTATAAAAATCTGAGTGTAATTGTACATACATTTATAATGAGCATCAGAAACTAGAATTGATTTTTTTCTTTTTTTTTTTTTGTAATTAAAAATTTTTTCTTTTTTATGCATAGGTATCTAATATAATTTTTGTTATTCAATAAAAGTTAATTTTCTTTTTACAATTATAAGTACTACCTAGTTTTTTCCTCTCTCTTCAACTTTTCCTTTCTATATACCTTTAACCTACAAATTTAATAATAAATACTGTATTAAGAATCTGGTATGTATATTAGCCATATTACAAGCTGGTCCAATTGATAATGTTTATAAAATATAATAAATATAATAAAATTCATGTAGAATTACATAATTACGATATAAAATAAACAATTTTATAAACTTGGTACATGTAAAGTAAATCTCAATACAATTGGGTGGTACCTATATTAATCATTTTATATTTACATTTGTACATTTTACATCATACATTACATTTTATAACATTTACTATGTATTATTACTAATATATTATTTCTTACATAACTATTTTATTTACATTAATTTACACTTTATTATATTTTTTTAAATATAAATCTTATTAACAAAAATGCGTTTTTACATGTTCATATTCGTGAAGATTTAGTTCTTCTTTGTCAGAAAATTTTTGATTACAAACATTACATTTTAAAATTTCATTAAATGAGCACCATTGATGGATTTGGTAATGATCAAATTGTTCACAAGTTTCATGACAAATTTCACAATCAAATGGCTGTTGGTCTACACATATTTCATTTAATGCTTTCATATGATTTTCGTCAGGTATCCATGAATCTTTTTGAGGGGATTTTACATTACTATTAAGGTAACTATTAGTGTTAGTGTCTATATTGTCTTCATTTGGTTCACAGAATATTAAATTGGTTTGATTCCTAAAAATTCTTAGATTATCATCAATATTATATTGTTGGTGTTCTTCAAAATCGGATGCTATAGTGAATACACCTTCATTTGAGTTACACATAATTTTATTATTACTAGCATCTAAATTTGAAGAATCATAGAAGTCCAAGGACTCATCACTACTGCCATTACTGAAAATATCTGAACTTGTATAACCATCATTTAAGATGTTTAAAGATTCATAATAATTATTGGAAGTACCTGCAATTGTACCATCATTATCTAAGATGTTCAAAGATTTATCATTATTGGAGGCATCTGCAATTGTACCATCATTATTGAAAGTACTAGCAATTGTACAATCATCATCCAAGATGTTCAAAGATTTATCATTATCGGAGGCATCTGCAATTGTACCATCATTATTGGAAGTACTAGCAATTGTACAATCATCATCCAAGATGTTCAAAGATTTATCATTATCGGAGGCATCTGCAATTGTACCGTCATCTAAGATGTTTAAAGATTTATCATCATTATTGGAAGTACTAGCAATTGTACAATCATCATTCAAGATGTTCAAAGATTGATCATTATTGGAGGCATTTGCAATTGTACCATTTTCATCATCATCATAAGTGTTCAAATCCATATTATCATCAAGTGTCACAGAATTGTGAGAAATGCTAGAATTGCCATTTACGAGAGTTTGATAATGAGTTTTTTCGTGTCCCACAAAATCAACGGAATTGTCAAATACTTTATTACACACATTACATCTAAACTGATCATTCTTCAATTCTAGCGGCATTTGATTTTCAAATTCATTGAAAATATCTGAACTTCCAATACCATCTATTGTTTTTTTTTGCACAAAGAAATAACTTTTTGATTTAAAAATTGATCCATCTTTTTTTAAATTAGACTCACCATGAAAAGCTTTCATATGTGCTTTAAAAGATATAAGGCTTGCGAAATTTTTACAACAAATATCACAATAATGCTTAACATTTTTTTTCTTATGTTTAGTTTGTTTTTGTAATATTTTCTTGTTTTTTTTAGTACAATTCTCATTTGTTGTATGTTGAATTAAATCAGTATTATTATCAAAATACAAATTGCATACGTTGCATAAATGTAATACATTATTTTCTTCAATTTGTACATCCATATTTATTTCAAGATACAAAAAATAGATAAATTATAGTTTGTTGATAAATGTCTGGTTAGCAAAAATTGTATGAATACTTCTAGTGGTAAAAATTAGAAGAAAAATGTTCTTTTTTGATGGTTGTTATTAATATAATATGAAAATCTTCACTTTTTCATACAAAAATATATTTTTTTTTTTCATTCAAATTTGAGTAGAGATCAGTCTTCAATGTGTTTATATAAATATTATAATATTCAGTCAACCTGTCAACAATTGAAAAAAACCATTTATAATTTATTAATTCTTTTGACACCAAGTTAACAAAATAACATAAAAATAAGTTAATATATTATTATAAACAAATATTTTATTTTAAATCTGGTCTTTAAAATCTTTTTACATGTTTAAAGAATACTACTTTAACCCATAACAAAATAATAACTATTGATTTTTCAACGATGAATGTTTTTTGTATGTATTTATCATCAGTCATCCTCATTACTTTTAAGGACAGTAAAAATACTTCAATTTTTAACTTAGAGGTTGCCTGTTTTTTGAAATTCTTAGTAACAAATTTAATTTAGTTGATACTTTAAAGGAGGGGGAAGTGTGTTAAGAGTAAAAATTGTCAGTACTTTTTTTAATAATTGGGAAAAATAAAAATGAGAATAAATATTTAAAATAAAACAGTTGTGTTTAAGTATTGTAAATAGTTTGGGTATATGTGGATGTACAGGCTGCAGATAAATTGCAAGTTCCCAACAATCTAGTCATACAAATATATCTTAAATGAAAAAAAAATACAAGACTTGATATCTTTAAATAACAAAGAATTTAGAATATTATCAAGCAGCTCTCTATAGAGTATGAATAAACGCCTGTGTTTTCCTTGCCGATTACCTATATTGATGTAATATTTATATGTAAAAAATAACTGTTACTACAATTATTTTTACTATAATTTAAAATGATTATCTAGGTATTAAAAATGGATACATGTGTCATCAACTATATGCTATCTATAGTTAATTTAGGTGTCTTATACTATTTACACATTTTCCCATTATAATATTTTATCACTATTAATAGCAAGAATTTCATAAATCCACATGCAGGTGTTCAAACATAAAAATTGAGTGTTTATAGAGGCATATAAAAGTAAAATGTAATATAAAATCACATGGAGCAACTAACCTACTCAAAAGACAATTATAGGAAGAATAACATTTAGTCAATCTGACTAATGTATTTAGAAGTTTTTTAAGAGATATTAAAGATACATTTGTATTAGATTATAATTTTAATAACAACTGTACAACTACACACTTCAATAAACTTTTTTAGGAAAGTTAAGAATACATTTTTTGCATAGATAACATATGACACGTGTACCTAAATATGATTTATAACCATGTCTTGTATGTGTATTTTCATTGAATTTAATAAAAAATAAAAAAAAATTTAATCATTAAATGAAAAAACTACAGGGGAATTTGTAAAATTATAAGATTGAAAAATTCAATGATTTAAATTTAAACATTAGTTCATTGTCATCCAGTCAATTTTGGTTTTAGAACCTTAATCAAGAGGTCAAAATAAATTAAAAATGTTAGTCTCATCAAATTTGGTATTAAAAGTGTACTGAAAGAACTACAAATTTGAAAATCATCAAAAAATGTGTATTTCTGTATTCCCTATCTCATCTAGAAAACCCCATATCAATCCAATGGCACTAAACTGAAATATTTCATGTTACCTTAGGAAACACACTATATAGCCTTTGTATAGAAGAACGAAGAACATACTAAGTTGTAATGATTACAATATAAACATCATTATGTACAGTTGATACACAAATATTATTAACTGTAATTTAAACCTCATTCAAGATGTATTAAAAATGTCAAACTGATAAGCAACAATAGCATTCATAAATTAAGCAACATAAACTATAAAAATTAAACAGAGAAACTTCTAAACAATCATCAGAGAAACTAGAAGTAACTACTGTTAGGGGGACATTTTGTGTCCCACGGAAGTGACTATTAATTGAATTAAATTATTTTCAAATAATTGCTATCTAAAGTGCATGTACAATTTTAGAATCATACTATATTTTGTATTATTATATATTTAATCTTATATAACTTAATAACTTAATAATAACTTAATAATCTTAATAACTTTATAAGTCATAACTGTTTACCTGCTTATAAATTAATGGTAGTTGCAATACAAATTAAATAATTTGATTCTTCATCATTTAATAAACAATTTTCATTAGTCCATAACCATAATATGTCAATTTCTTTCCTGTTAATAAGAAAAAATAAACAATATGATGAAACCCTAAATCTAAAAACGCAGTAAGAAATAATATGAATAAGCTAAATGTTGACTTGTTATATAATGACAGCATACATAACTTAAATATGTATGGGTATCTAATTATTAATTAAACAATCATAAGCTCCACTTGCCAAATACATTAAAGGATGCAAAAATTGATCACAGCATACATAAACTTTCATTTTTTAAATTGTTTTATTTTTTCAATTAAACATCTATTACTATAAAATATTGTCATTATTTCATAGTTTAAAAATAAAAACATAGAAATTGGCTAGTTTTAACTTAAACAATTCATAAATTAAATTCTCTACAACATAACCCCAATTATTAATTACAAGATAAAATTTGCCTTTAGTTTATTCACATGTTGACTGCCTTATGACCACAGGCGGTCATCTATAATTCTCAAATTTTATACATTTGTGACTGCTTGCACCCATAGTTCATTATTACTACCACACCACATAATCACTGACGACCATAAATGAATTTGGTTTTATATAATTAACTTTTCTATGGCACTACAATAATGTACCAAAATAAGAACCGTAGCGTAGCAGGATTACAATTTTTTTGATATAGGTAATACATTTTTTTCAAATATATAGTATGATATATAATTTTGGAAACATTGAAAAATATGCTTAGCATATAATAAATACCTATTGAATGACTGCCAGTGGTCATGTAGCAGTCAATGTATTAAATAATTATTTGTTGTTTTTTTTAGTTAAAGAAAAAGTACAATTATGCATCCTATTATAAGCACAAGTAAAAGTAACTAATAATTTAAAAAAAAAAAAACGAATAAAATTATTGAAAATATTTGTCACACATAAATCAGGTATAGGTAGTGCATAACACTAACAAAATATTTAAGTACCTATCTATTTTTATGAAAAAAAGAAATTTTAAACATAATAGTAATTGAGACGAGAGTAAAACCGAACGATTATATTTGAAATAGGTAAAATATATGTAAGTACTATCTTACATAATTATATGGTAATTGTGACGTTAACTGTAAACCCAGTAAATGAAAAAATACGAAAATAATAAATATAAAATCAAGACAAGTCATTAACAAAACGACCAAAGTATCAAAAATGAAAATTCTAATCAAAAAATAATAACGATTAACGTCAAAGATAAAGAAGTTAAAAGCTTAGTACTCACAACTCCTAAATCCAAAATCACTATAGAAGTACATCAACAATCACGTGGTCATATACCACACTTCAGTAATAAATAAATAACAGTGCTGATGTGCTGAATGATCAGCAAGTCAAACTGCCAAAGTCAATGAATTTCACGGCGACGAGTGGGTTTTTCTTCACAATTTTTTTCTAAATAAAATGCAAATAACTACAAATCTTAATAAATAATATATCTGCAACATGGCCAACATGTAAATCGCACACGCAAAACGGCAATGAGCACGTTCGTCAAAGTCTCGAAATCACGAAAATCTTAAATCGATAACAATGAATGATCCATGATTTATAACTCAGTGATAACTGATAAGCAATTTCGGAAAAACTTAATCTTCCCTTCCATTTCATTGTTGTTTAATATTTGTGCTATCTGTCCTTGTATAATTCTTATAATATGTAGTAAATAGTAATCTTGTCAATGAAAATATTATGATTTATGAACAATATGAACATTATGAACTATCAACTGAGTTCGAGCCACAAATTATTTTTACGAAATGTAGTTTTACTATGTTACGTGCGTGTAAGACACCAACTACTACTGTAATGCAGTACAACATACATCGTGAATACCTTACTACGACATCTTCTTAAAAGATTAAAATTTAAGCCTATCAGTAGACGTAGCCATTGGATGTGCGGTCCAGCCGATTAGCATTCCGCCGAACTAAAGTTGAAATTCGATTACGATATTATCACAAACTCATAAATAATTATGATAAAACAGTGTATTAATTATTAATTATTAGTACACGGACGATGAAATGTTACTGGTTCACCAGTTGGTAATGACCAGAATGATTATTTATTTAACTCTTCGTTTGGCGTTCGGTTCTTTAGAAAACTTACGCATGGATTGGTTAAAACAATAACATTTCCAACTAAATGTTTTGTTCATTTTACAAAATTAAAACGTTAAAATCTAGTAACTTTAATCTTTGGTAAATCCAACCATAAAACAAGTTGGTTTGATGAATAATTATTGTAACAGGTAGGTTATTAATAATATTATATCATAAATGTAGTCGGTTTAACGAAAATATTGTTTATCAATATTACTGTATTAATAAATAATAATATAACAATATTAAAATAATTATTTTAATGGTTTTATATTAGATAAAACTTATAATCATCATAAATTTAGTTGATATAACAATATAATATTATTCAACTATAAATAAATAGTATTTTTTTTTTCCTTGGGCATACCTAAGCCACAACACGGCAAATCCCAGGTCGCAAACTTATCTTACGTCGTGCGAACTCAGTTTAACTTATTAGTGGTTGAATAATGAATGAAATATTAGAATAAATGGAACTTTATTGTCTATATTTAAATATAAAGTTGCTATTTTTTTTTTATAGTGAACCGGTTGCGAGCAAGCAATCCTGCATGTATCCGACCGCGGACGCCGACACTGCTATTGCCTGTTATATCTAGTAAAACTTACACGTATATAAGTT